AACCTCCAACTCCTGGGCTCAAGCGAATCTCCTGCCTCCGCCTCCCAAGTTGCTGGGACCACAGGCGCCCACCACAACACCTGGCTATTTTTTTTCGGTTGTAGCCATCATTGTTGTTGGTGGGTCCAGGCTGGATTCGAACCTGCCACCTTAGGTGTATGTGGCTGGCGCCTTAGCCATTTGAGCCACAGGTGCTGAGCAGATAATGCTGGTCTTATAGAGTGAGTTGGAAGCATTTCATGTTGTGGAAAATTTTGCATAGAATTGGCATTGTTTCTCTTTTAAGGTGTTTGGTAGAATTCACCAATGAAGCCCTCTGGACCTCAACCGTTTTTTGTGAGACGATTTTATAAATTCTTGAATAAACTTTAGTTTATCGTTCATGGAATTTGTCCATTTCTCATAATTTGTAAGATTTATTGGCATACAGTTGTATATTATAATCTCTATTTTTTTAATTTTTATTTTATTTTATTTTTTTTTGCAATTTTTGACTGGGGCCAGGTTTGAACCTGCCACCTCCAGTATAAGGGGCCCAGTGCCCTACTCCTTTGAGCCATAGGTGCTGCCCATAATCTCTATTTTTTTTAAGTTTGTAGTATCTGTAATGTTATTCCTTCTTTTGTTTCTGATATTTGGGACCTTTCTTTTTCTGCAGAAGTATTTAATCTTTTAATTTTCTTCAGTTTGCCTCCTACAAAGTTTATGTTATGTTTGTTTATATGGACTTTAAAGACTTTTAAGTTTCCATTGTTACTTTTTCTTTGATCCACTTAATTTTCAAATACTTGGTTATTTTTCCAGGTATCTTTCTCTTACAGGTTTCTAATTTAATTCTGTGGTGGTCCAAAAACATACTTGGTGTGATGTAAGTCCTTTTCAACTTAATTGGGATTTATTGTAAGTCACTGAGTATAGTCTGTTAATGAATATGTGCCTCTGCTAAGAATGTGTTGAGTGGCATTTTTCAAAAATTTTAATTAGGTCAAATTGGTTGATAGTGTTTAAGATTTCTATATCTCAGGTGCCGCC